GTCCTTGGACGCCGGTGACTTCAAGTCGGCCTGAGATGACGCGCTCTGGGGTTCAACAAATCCTTCAAACTCCTCATCAACGGATTCCATGTAGGCGGGAGCCGAGGCAGCCTGAAACAAAACAAAAAAGGCGCATGACGTTGAGTACTAGTGCGGTTACGGCCGGCACCCACGTCAGCTGACGTCGACAGACCAGAAATGCCTTCTACAACGAAGGAGACGGGCTTTATTTTCTTTACATAGAATGACAGTGCACGGCTCAGTGGGTCACCTACGCACAATCCAGTAAGTTTGACCGTCGGTCTCGATGATGTCCACCACGTGCTTGAGCGGGGGTGTAACAGCACTTATCATACAACATCAGTTCAAGACATTTCAGTCACGACAGGATGCTGGGCCTTCGAATTGGCGTCTGTTCGGTCGTCTGCAAAGTCTGCCCACGGTAAAAATCCATATTTAAGTAGTATGGATTTTTTTCCACGAGTTTTAGGGGCCCTCACAAATTCGAGTGTATTTTATGTAAGCATACACAAAAATATTCCTTCTTGGACTTATTTGGCAGCAAATTACGTCTCCTCTAAATTTTATGCTTGAAGAAGACCAATCTGAAGGTTTTAATGAAGTTTTTGTGATACAGTTATTGCCGACACATTGCAAAAATGTATGAGGCTTATGTCGTAGAGAAATGTATGGTTCGAAGAGTGTACAGGATTTGTCTTATAAGCTGCTAGTGAACGTGAAACTGCAGGCCCAGTTCTGCAATTTAAAAAAGTAGTTGACCCAAAGAGGACTTTTCCTCGAGACAAAATATGCTACAAAATTATTAAAAGAAAAAAATCTTTTGTGCATGTTTTCCAGAAAAAAATATTAGAATTGATAAGGGCATCGGAAGTCAATAGGGGAAAATCAATACCATTTAAGCAGTCATTTGGACATTCAGCACGTCAAGGTTAGATTCGCGCTTTTATTTGCTACTGAGTGTGTGCTGGTAACGCGACTTAACCGTGTACGTATTTCCACTTAGTCATCCATCGATTACCCATGTCCTACGACCCTTGAACTCGTTTGCTGCCTTCGCATTATTTGACTCCCCACGTTCTTAGTACCCTGCCCTCATTCGCTTAGAAACTGGCAACCACACGTCTGCGTCATTCGCACAACTGCTCGTCTAACCACCGCGAGTTCATATCCACCCTTTCTTGTTGATTTCTACTCCGCCTATCGTGCCCTGTACTTACTTGTACTTGTTACGGCTTTGATCATGCCTGATCTAGCCGACCTCAATGATGTCACGGACGGTACCTCTCC